GCCGTCGCATTTGATGCACTCCCAGATTTCGTACAAGACATTGCAGCTTGATTCTTAGGAGCTAAGCTATGTACAATATTGCTCCGTGTTGAGAGTCATCAGGATCAGCCACGCATGTGACACGGCCCACGACACTACGCTGTCTTTTCTACCCAGGGCAATTTACTCCTCGGAGAGAACGTCCTTCTTCTCCTTCGGGGGCCTCATTCCACAGTACAAGCAAGTATCGGGGTATCCTGTCCATGGGCTTCCCTTGACCGGTACACCACCATCTGCCGTCCACATATTTACGGGTTGAGGATTCTGTCTCGCGCGGGGATTGACGCCGACATCGATGGTAGCGTAGAGCCCATCTTCGATAGTCTTGCCAATGAGCGAAATCTTCATCACTGGGTCGTCGCCACCCTGCTTCGCCATGTTGAAGAGCGCATCAACTGCGTTGGTGGTGATGGCTTGCTTGTTCGTGTTGTAAGGAGAAGTCTTCTCAACTTGGCCTAGGAAGTTCTGCTCGATATAAAACTGACCGACGTGCGAGATCGTGCCACCTTGAATGGTATTGTTGGGAAGGAGTTTAGCACCATGGTGGATGATGGCTAGGGTTGTCAGTAAGGCGTTGGTAAAAGACAGGAGTGAAGCGTACTGTGGAGATGGTTCGTGCGGCCGACGTAGTGTCCTGGGATAACGGTAATGAAGGTAGCGGTACCATTGGCGCTGGTGGGTTGCACGCCGCGAAGAGCATTGGTCGCAATAGCGGTAGCAGAGCCGTCGCCATTGCCCTTCGCCTGAACACCCGTGTAGACACCAGTGGCGTTACTTCCCCACATCTCAACGTAGGCATCGGTGACAGGCTTGCAAGATGAAGTGTCGATAATGTTGACGTCCAAGTGGGTGATGGCACCCTTCTCTCCGGTCAAAAGGTCCTGGCGAACGAGCTCACCGGTGACCCCTATCAGTTTGTAAGCCAACCTGTCTCAAGAGATGCAACCTTCTCCACTTACAGTATGGACCCTCAGTGGATTCAGGGTCAAGCGTGCATGCTGCCTCGGCACCGTAGCTTTCCTCGACTTCAGCGACGTCACGACGGACGAGCTCGTGTTCCTTCGCGAAACCAGCTGCAACCCGAAGCTCGTGGAGCCTTGCCTCACGCCTCTGATGCTGCTCCCGGACCCACCCGGTCTCGACGAGATCCCTTTTACACGCCTGAACACTTCGACGGTTGGGATGATCCAAATGAGCCTGCCTCCTCAAGATCTCCTTGTTGGTGTTGCCACCAGGATGCGCGACAACACCGGTAGCCAAGAGAATGGCAGCGAGGGCTTGTGTGAGCTGAACCATGATGTCTGCAAATGCTCTGTGGACGTGAGGAGGCTCAAGGTGATCTCAAGATGCCATGTAGTCGGCCTTCTTATACTTTCCGGTTGCTGCGCCTTGGTGCGGTATTCCTGCAGGTGCTAATGACATCGTTCTGGATCTACACATCTGTGCTGTCGCTGTTCTCGTCACCGAGCAGTCTAAACTGCGTTCCCTGTTGTGTGCTACTCTCCACAGATTGTCTAGGATGAGGTCCATAATCAACATGGCTGTGATAGGCAGCGGCAATTGCTCGCTTCGGTACACGCGCCGCAGCTAGATTAGCGTTCATCTAGTGCCCGATCTTGGCGGCGGAGTGCATGCGGCATGGTAGTCTTGGTACGACTCTCCAGGACGACGTGTGGCTAATGTCGACCAGTCGTATATTAACCGGAAGTGCTGCGCGCGGTGATCGGTAGTTGAATGCGGTGTGATGCGTCCGCGTCATGATGCGAATCTGGATCTATACGTCTAAAAATGCACAAGCGAGCATCCCCAAGCTTGTATAGGTAAATACCTTCTGGTTCGAGGTTGGTGGGATGCTATTTGACGCTGCATCTGAAGACAGATACAAACTCGTTGAATCTACTTAGCCAGTCTCGGTTAAGCGAGGGGAGGGCGGTTGGATTTTACTGGGGCTTACACATGTATAGTCGGGCGGCCAAGACACCATCTGGATATACTTTTGCATTGATGAAAACCGGCAGGCTCGTAAGGTGGAGCAAATGGCATGACCCGTATTTCTCAGCACCAACAATGTCTTCGAACGGGTCGGGCCTATGGAGCCGAGTGTGCGTGTCTCATGTGCCTGGATGGATGCAGATCCTGGCAGCTGCCATATGTGACATGGGACTGGAGATGTCACGTAGCTGGGAGCAGCGCTCTGTACATGGCTCGATCTTCTACCCACGTTCACCGCGGAATGATTTCCACTTGTCGTAAAGCCGGTGACATGCTTCTTACCGGGCTCTAGCAGTCGAGACCGTGAGACCGACTCCTCTTACTCCTCGGAGCACTCGCTCAAGAACAGCCACTCGGTTCCGAGAGGTGGACTGTCCTTGCGGTATCTTCGGACGATACTCTCCCCCTCTTCGACGACATTCATTCATTCCTGAGCGCTCAAATTAGCACGTATATTGTCGAAGTTTCCGTAAGGTGATTATGGTGAGCAGACCGCGCATCGTCAGCACCCCCGTGATAGGCTATGGATATCCGGCAGCCCAAGCGGCGATATGCCACTAGCAGGAGCGTGGTTGAGGCGAGTACGCGTGGTTGAGGTAGCAGTATCGGGAGCCTTGATACGCAGGTTTAGAAGGTGAGTGGCTTTCGCATAATAGAGAGCTCGGAAGACACACGTGCCAGGGGCATTGCGGGGTGCGTAAGAGCTCATCATCAGTATTGCTGCCGCAGCCGGCATAAGGCAACCAAAGAAGACAATAACGCGACTATGCTCTGCAAGAGATATTAGCAGTACAGGAACTTCCTTGCTAGGTCCTCTATCTGTGCGTAAAGCCGCTCTTGCGCGCCGGCAGAAAGTGCCTAGGCATGGCTCACCCTGCGTGGGTTTCAAGGTGTCGCTGCAAGGAAGGAGCAGCCTGCGACTCCTGAACGGAAAACACAGACCTGCTGCTCTTGGAGTTGTAGCAGTAGGTATAGTAACGTGACATAAGCTTCGCGATTTTCTGGAGGCTGGAGCTTCGCAGTCCGGAATGTTCTCCATGAGCTAAGAACTGCGCTAGTCGCCATCCAGGTCTGTGCAAGCGACCTCGACAGCCTGGAGCCGTGCCTTCCGCACTCCTGGCCGAAACACGATCCTCGACAGCTGAAACCCACAACGCCAGGACAGCCCCGACACCAGCGTCTTGACGATGTTTGGTAGTCCTTTTCGTGTGCTCACCGTGACGCGATTAGCCCAGCGCCACACCTCCGTTGCACATTGAACGAATGGTAATGCTCATCAGCTCCGTGCCCCTGGCGGCACTCCTTATAGTATCAGCATCGCATGCCTGCGAAGTTAACCACAGTGGCGAAACGGGTTGGCGTCTGAGGGTGATGAAGAAACGACGAAACATTGCAATGCTTTTGCAAAATCAATATAGGCGTTCATGCTCGCTAGCACTAACTTTCTTTACTTGACCGTCGTCATTCCAGCTTTCTCACGCACGCATACAGCAAGATGGCGACTTTTCTCAATTCTCCATGTACACCTGCCAAACCCGCACATACCTTCTACCATGACGACAGCGCATCTCGAAGCCACAAGGCAAACCTGTCTGGCGCAACTATGCTGGACTTGTTGAGTGGCCCCGAAGGATCCATCGCCGCAGCCTATGAGTCCTCGAGCGTGCACCAGCGTTCTTCTAGGTCGAGGCGGCCATCCCAAACCTCGATCACCAAATCTCAATTACGCCAGACGAACCGCACTTTAATCGAAATCATCCACAATGTTCAAGCCGAGCTAGCGACACAGAGAGAGGCAATGCTCGACATGCAAACACGGATCCTTCAGCTTGAAAGTGCCTCGCAAATATACAACCAGGACCTTGGCCCGCGTCATACAATCGCCGGCCACCGCAAGCGGTCTCAAATCAGAAGCGCAGAGGGCGCTGCTCGCGAAACGCAGGGACGTTGGGACGCATACCAGAAAGATGTAGACATGCTTGGCCCTCCTCTTATCGCGAACGAGTTCTGGAAGTCACCTAGCCGTTTCTCTGGCTTCAACTTCAACTTCGATCTACTTGAGACGATACCGAAGTCTCTCCATCCCCCTCCTCCAGATGTGGATGATGTTCCGAGTCTTTCTCCAGATGAGCAGCCAGAAACATATACGCCGGGGCTTCGCCGGATTCCCGCCAGAATTACCCGGATCAAGACATCCGATCCCACTACGATGTACCATGATGCGGTGAGCGACATCAAAGAACACGTTGTAGAGTTCGACAAAATCAATGCCCCCATGCCTGTCAAGCTCCAGACACCGCCACGAAGTTCACGCAGCAAGTTGACATCGATGTACAGCCGGGATGATGAAATTACAGCATTACCCCGGATTCCCTTCCAGCCGGCACCAAGCACACATAACTCACATCGCAGCTTGATGGGTATCAAAAGCTTGCTATTGTACAGGACATCATCGAGGAGCCAGAAATCTGACTACCCTCCATCGGATCACCGACGTTCAGGCTCTTCTTTACGCTGTTGAGCATAGGGTGGCATCGCGGCGCAAGAGTAACGTTTGTATTGGTAGCAATAGAACCGAAGAGAAGGGCAATCTGAATTAGGGTCGAAAGGGAATAGTTCGCGGTAGACGTGTAAGTGTTATGAGGAACCTATTACGCTGTGTTACCACGGCCGTTGGTCTGGACCACAGCTTCCAACGCTTTCCTACAAGTTGAGGGCGCCATTCCGAAATATAGTTCAGAGCAATGCATACAATATGTCACCCGAATGGGCTCCTTCATCATGACTGTGAAGTGACAAATGCATGACCTCGTGCACGAGCAAATAGCGTGAACATGCCTCGGAGTTAAGGCGGCTTGGCATTTCTCGCGCTTTCCACCACGCAAAACGTCATTACCCGTTCACTATATCATCGCGCCGCCTTCCACCTCCCCATCGACAACGACATCGCAAAGGCACACACACACATCATGGCGTCCCTCTTACGGAGACCCTTCGCCATCACGGCAACATTGCGACAAGCATCGCCGAAAGCACCGCAAACCCTCACGATCCGCGCATTCCACAACACGCCACTGAAGCAGCAGTCGCACTTCTTCCGCCCCGCAAAGCCGACGGTATCGACATCGCACAATGTTTCCAAGTTCCAGCAAGCGTTCCGACGCGGATACCAGCAGGCTGCCTACAACCCGGTGGCGCAGGGCGACTTGCGACAGCGCATGCTGTATGGAGCCGGCATCTTCGGTGCCACCCTTTTAGGCATCAACTTCATCTTCAACCGCGAGACCCGCGAGGACGGCGGCATGCCGCCATTCGAGCGCGAATACCTCAACGACACCTTCATGCACACTGGCCTTGGTATTGGAATGATCGGCATTGCTGCCCGCGCGCTGCACATGAACGGTTGGAGCTTCAGGCTCATGAGCGCAAACCCATGGCTGGTACTTGGAGTTGGCCTGGTTGGAAGCATTGGCACGATGTATGGAACTATGGCTACCTCGCCGTCTAAGTAAGTGTGAAGATCGATATTGTTTTGTAGACTAGATGTGCTAATCCGACGCAGCTACGTCCAAAAGTACGCCCTCTGGACTGCCTTCAACGGTACCCAAGCCCTCCTTCTGTCGCCCCTCTTCTTCATGCATCCTGCCATCCTCGCTCGCGCCGGTCTTTACACTGCTGGAATGATGGGTTCAATCGCTTTCGTTGGTAAGTTGTGGCCCGTACGGAGTGCATGTGAGACACATACTGACTTCTTATCTTCAGGTGCGACCGCGAAGACAGACAAGTACCTCTACCTGGGTGCACCGCTTTTGGGCGGCGTGGCCATTGTCGCGCTCTCTGGTCTTGCTCCACTCGTCATTCCCGCCACCGCTGCCCGCACACTTATGTTCACCGAGAACATCTGGCTATACGGCGGACTTGCCGTGTTTGGTAAATGAGTCTCCGCCCGTATTGCCTATGAGACACGCGCTAACATTGACACAGGTGGTTTTACATTGGCAAGTGTTAACTGTACGACATGCACGTGAAAAAAAATACTGACTTCTCTGCAGTACGACGTTCAGAAGGTGCTAAACCATGCCCGCCAGGCTGAGCGTGGCTTGATCCCAAAGGATCCCGTCAACGAGTCCATCTCGCTCGAGTTGGACTTCATCAACATCTTCGTCCGCATGGTCCAGATCCTGGGCATGAGCCAGAACAGAAGGAAGTAAACATCTTGGGATAATGGCATAGGGAAGCCCGCAGGTTACTTAGGAGACTTGCTCGTTCTTCGTCTTCGTTGAATACGCTATGAGTTTTGACTATAGCTGTATATAACTCCTCTCTTTGGGCTTTTTACGCTGATACATACCACAAATGAGCAAAAACAATCGAAACTCTTACTGGCACAAACGTTTCCTGACGAGCCTCATTGCTATATCGATGTCTCAAGACCGGTCGTTCGACATCTACCGAAAACGCAGGTCGGGTGGCAAGCACATTTCTCTTACTATTGGTATTGACCATGTACATTAGCGTAGACATAAGTTCCCAACGGTAACATGAGGACTAAGGAATGGTGCCCAAAGATACGAACGGTAAGGGCTCATTAAGCCAGACTCAATGTAGTCCCATAATACCAATCTACGGTCGATGTAAGACATGATATTGACACTGGTGAAATAGTTTAATGTGGCTTAAGGGAACACATGACAAAGGGTACGTCTGCTCATGAGCCTGAACGTATCCGCTGCGTACTGTCATCGATCAAACTTTGATTCCCTTTCATTCAGAATCAGACCTGTAGCTTGCCTCTACCGCTTGCATAATCTCATTGCATACCCCCTTCATCTTTTCCTGATCCTGCACGGTCTTCATCCTGCTCAGATCCTTTTGCCACTCGCCGGATTGCTGTATCAACCGTGCTCGGTAGTCCTTCGCGTGAGTAAGACCGGCATGGGCGCATAAAGCACCTGCGCGAATCATCATCATAGTTATCTCGGCGTTCTCCAGATCTCCGGTCTCTTTGACATTTGTGTGTTCGGTTTCCATCCATATCTCCCATGGGGTCGTCGTGTCTTGCTCAGATAAAGCGATGCTCTCGGTAGGATCACACCCAGAAGCGATGAGGTGGGCAACGCTTACCGCCGAGATGGGGAGGTAATTCTCATAAGTAAGTTCCACATACAACAAAGTCTTCTCGAATGTATGTTGTAATAGATTGATGCCGAGCTTGTGTCGGGTATTGAATCCACGCACATCGTAGTTTTGGACAAACGTGGGCAGATCGAATTCTAATGCCAGTAGAAGTGATAGGTCGTCCACAGATAGGTTATGCTGAGAAACGAAGAAGAAGTCCCTACAGCCATCCTTGGATTGCATCATCGCAAAGGCCAGCCTGTTCAACGTGCGTGAGAGGTTTGTTGGTGACTTCTGCTCGACTTGACTGATATGCCACAATGTTGTACTCGCGGAAGCAAACGAATCCTGGAGCCATAGCTCATAACAAGACATGTATGCCAGAACCGTAGTGACATCAAAACGGTCGTCATCGATGCGCAAACAGTCCATTTGCCAAATGTCAGGGGTATTGAGGAATTCAAACACAGTGCGATGCATGAAACCGACGGTCCAGTACGAATACCCATTGCCACCGTAGTCGTCATGAACCGTATGGGTCTCAAGAAGCCCCCTGCAGCGACTTTGTAGGCGACCCTCCAGTATTGTGAATTTCCTTCCGATCTCGTCGTCAGACAATGGAGGAAATTGTTCTAGCGCATCTATCTGCATGTCATTCTCGTGAGCCCAGGCCAGCGGTGTGGCCGCTAAAGTCCCCGAAGGTCTTAGACAACGGTCGACGTAGCAGACTCGTAAAAGTTTCGCGGCTTGTTGAAGGAAACGAGGCGGAAGCCCGTTCAGTATGTGGCGGAACAGACTCTCGAGTTCTGCTGGTAACTCATCAACGCGGCTTCGGAGTTCCTCTGCACTGTCGTATGCCTCAAACCCTTCGAGCAGCGTGCGGCATGCAAGAACAACCCATAAGAAGACACCGTCTGCTTTGCTCTGCATGTCGCTCACAAGACCCTCAATTGATGTATCGCTCAAGTAGTTGTGTTCGGCCACCGACAGGTGCGTCCTGATAACATCATTGACGTACTTCTCGATGTCTGGTTTGGTGAGATCTTGTAGTCTTAGCTTGGGCGCTGAAGAGAGTTTTACGACGCATGTATCGATCGGTCTACTTGAAACCAGTACTTTGATGTTGGTACTAGCAGCGAGGCTTTTCACAAACTCTATTCCGTCTACGTGGTTGCCGGTGAATTCGTCCAGACCATCAATGAAGAAAGCGAAAGCTCCGTTTGTTGCTTCAGCGCCAAGTTGCTTGAATGCCGTCTTCAATTCGATGTCTGTGGGAGGTTTCAGGTCGACGGTACCGCTTTGAGCTTCTTTCCACATGTGTGGGAGTACGGCAGGAATAAGGGCGGGGTTTTGCTCAAGGACGTGATACAGTAGACCTTGAGCAAGTCCTTTCTGTGAGCTTTGCTCCACGGATCCAACGTTCCACAAGTAGAATGACGCTACGGTCACTTTCGTAGTTCCAGCCCATTTCTGCAAAGAAGACATGACCTTGGGGTGGCCGTGGAGGAACTTCTTCATATTACAAATAGTATCAGTATGTTTTCAAATGCGTCTGGTGAGTTGTACTTGCCATAAGAGTAGACTTTCCGCTACCTGGTTTGCCATAAATCCAATAAATGCCATACCCAGATCGCAGCCACTGGCCTAAGTCATCCCAGACGGCACCTGAAGTGGGTGGATCTATAGCCCATTCAAGGGTATTGGAGTGAGCTTGCGAAATGCTGTCCTTTCTGTCATCGATCAAGCGAAACCAAAGGCGGTTGAGAACCAAAGAGGTACACTCTCGATCAATGATTTGTCTAGTGACACCGGAAAGATTGTTGACTCCATCCGCGCAAGAGCGTATGATTATTCTCAATTCGCAGACGTTCTTCAACCGTCGAATCTCGCTCTCCAGTGCGTTGTGAGCTGGGATGTCGCCTTCTTGCGGTGGTACCAATTTGTCCATGTCGGATACGAGTTCCGATAGCTTTCGAACGAGACTCTCAAATTGATCTTTGTCTTTGATAACCCACTTGACTTTGTTCAAGATGGCCGAATATCTCGTGCGGTTGCTATCCGACAGTTGATGAGGGATTTCACATTGAGACGACCGAGAAGTAAGACGCAGTCGTTTGTTTTGAGGGGTTTCGTCTACGGGTTGATCAAAGCCCCTTGGTTTGTTAGAATGTAGCAGTTCCGGTTCACAATGAGGGCGTTTGTTGTTACGGTTCTCGCTTGAGAACTGGTGAGGAATTTCGTGCTTTTCAGATGGATGTACCGAAGTGTCCTTTCGAGACCTTATGCACAATGACTTTTGACGTAGTTCAGTCATTAGCCGGCTACTGACAGACGTTGTTGAAGTCTCGATCAGATCACCACCATGAGCCTGTCTTACACCGTACTGTTTCTTCAACACGTGTCCATCCTGCAAAAGCTGATGAATACAATCAAGCCCTTGGTAGATCCGTGGTCCCAGAGTGGGGTCGACCAGTCGCCTATCGTATCCCGTGGCATCGTATAGCTTCAGTCTTTCTGCCCAATTTAGTAGTAGAGCCTTCTGTATGTCGAGTCTTGTTGCAAGCAGGGTGTAGTCCTTTTCGATAGATTTAGCCGCACCAATCTGCGATAGAAGCGTTACACAGTCCTCGAAAACCCCAACAAGTGCAAGTATGCCAACGGCAAGACCGGCGGCCTCCATCAGGATACGAGTGCAAGTATGCTTTCAGCTGTGCTGTTAGAAAACCATGCCGCGCTGCAATATGTGTAAGCATGCTGAAAAGTTGACGAACTACGGATCCCCCGAACCTACATTGTGAAAGCCTTCCAATTCAACATAAGCAGACGAGGACACAGTATCTGTACATCCTGAAACGGATATCCGCAGGAGAGCGAGCCAGCGATCGCCGAGGAAGTTCACTTGAACGTCTTCGCGTTTGAACACGCTCAGGCGTTGTGGCTGTGTAGTTAATGTGCTGCAAAGACTCGACCTTGTTGAAAGGTATTGAGGGCTGAGTCGATCTAACCCCGCGACTGCGCGTTCACGACGCGGGCTGCGCTCCCTGGCTGCGCATCGCACCAACGCCACCTACCGCAGCTTTACAAAATGCATTGCTGCCTCGCCGGACAGTCGCTGACTGTATATTAATGGCTGTATTTAGCTCATGCGAAGCGCACCATCTACTTCCATCTGCCATAAGACCACCTGGGCAGGCTGAGCTGTCACGAATGCACCTGCAACAGCCTAATCACGCAGCGAGTACGCCTCGAGGCGCATTTTCAGTTGAAGAACCTGCTACCTGATTCGGGAGAGGTTGAGGAGGAGGTATACGCCATGGAGAGATGAAGCGTGAGATGAACTAACTTGACAGCGCGAATTTCTCCAGCGCAAGCTTTCCATTAGCGATGGGGAAATCGGGGGCGTCTATGAGCTCATCTGTGGCGCCATTGGGTAAGCCGTCCAGGTGTGGCTTACGCGACAAACTCCATTAACCACCTCGCGCTGCCAATGTGGGCCACCCATCAGCATCACATCGGCATCAGGAAGTAAAATCAGAAATCACATTCCATTGGAAAAACAACATCTCGACCCCCACCACCGTGCCACACTACCCGTAAACTTGGCAGGCTTCGGTATACCTTGTCAGGCAAACGCCGCGATCGGACCATTGCTACTCCGACATGACTCGGAACCAAACAAGGCCTCCGGCACCGTATCCACCCAATTACAGTAGTCGGATCTGGGCGATCTTGGTACTGACCACGTGCGGAAGGGAAGAGTGCATGAGGCTCTGCTCCGTTCTACGGTGGAGCCTGCGCAGGATGTGTGTGGAGATCATGGAGCACATGACGTGAAATGCGCGAGAGGAACCATGCGTTGTTAGTAATAGTGATTGAGCATGGCACACAAAGCAAGAGAAAGCGAGGGAATCACGTTGTTCATGTTCTTATTCATTCATCGTATCTCATAGTTCATATGGACCTATTTGGTATCATCATCGTGGGTATCAGCCAGCGGCTCAACCGCTTGATCATGCTCTGCACTGCAGACAAGATCTGGTGGAGAAGCATGCTCAAGCCTTCTCGTTGTGGTTGGAGCCGTCAACGACCTCAACTGCCTTGACACCGTCCTTCTCGCTGTGCATGCTGCCAGTCTCAATATCCTTGACGGGCTCAATGTTGGCACCGATAGGACCAGCCTCCTCGAAGTGACGACCCTTCTTCTCGGGGCCAAGAGCAGTAGTGACAGCAATACCGAGAGCGATGATTGCAGTCGCAACAGCCATGACTGGTCCGTAAGCGGGAGACTGCTCGCCTTTTGCAGTGCTAATCATAGTGGCCTCGGCGACGGCGTTGACGATCTGAGCGGAGGGCGAGGAAATCATGTTTCCGAGCTGGTAGGTGATACCGACGAAAGAGGATCGGAAAGCAGGCGGTGACAGCTCGCTCAAGTGGATGGGAATGACACCCCAAGCACCCTGGACGAAGAACTGGATCATGAAGCCAGATGCGGATAGACCACGCTCAGTAGTGGGGAGAACCCAGGCTGGGATGAGGCAAGCGGAGATCAAGGCAGCGCAGACGATCATGCGGCGACGACCGAACCATTGCGAGGTGTATCCAAGAATGGTACCACCGACACAGGCACCGGTCTTCATCAGGATGGAAGCACGGGTAGCACCTGCGGGGCTGAGATGCTTCTGCTCCTTCATGAAAGTAGTGTAGCTGTCTTGGCTCGTGTGGGAGTAGTAGTTGAACTGATAGATGTTAGCGGTACTCCATCAACTTGTCAGTGGCTTGTCATACCCAAGTCATGAGGATGATGCAGTAGACACACATCTTCCACTCCTTGCGAAGCATCTGCTTTGTCTCGGCCCAGAAGGCACCGGGCGCCTTCTTGTGTCCAGCCTTCTTTGCCTCTAGGAACTGCTTCGACTCAGGGAAGCATACGCGGATGAGACCGACAGCGATCGAGAAACCGGCGCCGACCCAGAAGACGGTCTTCCAGGTGTTGGTCGCACCACCGACACCCAAGTTGGCGCAAGCTGCGAGCACATAACCGAATGAGTAACCTTGCTGTAAGATACCACTCATAAGACCACGGGCGTTGACCCTGCGAATGTCAGTATGGGACTTCCATGTAATTAACTCAGATGTACTTACGGGCAGTTCTCAAGCGCCATGGAGATGGCGTTTCCGTAGACACCTCCCATGAAGAGACCGAAGAGACTCCGTACAGCCAAGAATTGCTGGAAAGTTCCAGCGTAGATGGTAGCAACCTGGAGAAGACCCAAGATGATCATGTTAAGAACCATGGGCCACTTTCGACCGAACTTATCGCCCGCCACGCCAAACCTAAAAATGGGTCAGTATTTGTCTCACATACAGTTCGTACATGGGTATTACTAACATAGCAGCACCGACGGAGCGGAGAAGCAATGTCAGGGTGATGGCCGTCGAGATAGCAGTGTTTGAGGTATCGTAGTAGTCGGCAAGCTTGGTAGTCTGAATTGACAGCGCGTGGAAGTCAAAGGCATCGGCAGTCCATGCGAGGAATCCGACAAGGAAGTACAGCCAATCCTTCAATCTGCAGAGGTAGAGGTACGAAGTCAGTATATGTCTCACATGCACTTCGTACAGTCAGAACTTACCCGAGTTGAGCGAACAGGCTGATAGGATTCTTGAGAGGCTCTGGCTTCTGCCACTCGCAGTGCTCCTCGCCGTAGTCATTGCGAACGACTACACGTTGGTCCCAAGTGAAGAGATCCTTGAGACTCTGTTTGGCGGTGGGGATGATGCCCTTTGCCAATGGGTCTGCTGGGCGGTTGGTGCTCGCCATGGTGCTGATGGTAACTTGAAATGAGTTTGGAGGCAATGAGAAGGTAAGAAGACTGCCCTGTAGATGTAGGCGCAAGTCCGATCGCACTGCTGATTTCAAGATCGAGCGCGGGGGAGCTCAATATATACCCGCAGTCATCTTGGCTGACCAGAACGCCTCGTAACGATACTATCAACGCCCATGTCAGTCAGCCGCTGAGTCTTGATGCGAGCCAAGTTCTGCCAAGTCCGTCCGTGCAGTTCGATTTGCAGTGAATGTAACCATCTCCGGTCCGCCAAGAGCGCTATTTTGCACTAAGCCTTCCGGTGGGCCAAGCTAGCGCTTGTGCGCAAGTGACAAAACAGAACATGTCCCGGGGTCGGATCGGACGTATCAGTGCGTTCTCTCAGAGCGGAGGAAAGAAGTGGGTGTGACGATCCTACGACGCCGTTGACATCTTCCCCATGGGGTCGCCCTTTCGATTTCCCGCAAACGTGGTAACTTTCCGACTACAGATTGCGCGACCACACCACACATACTTCGTTGATATGCGTAGTAGCACCGAAAACCGTTCTGTGCTTGTGTCCGACCAAGCTCCGCAAGCGCTGGCGAAGCTTCCTCGCGAGACTTGCTCGCAAAGAAGCTTCGAGCCATTGAAGCAGCCACAAAACTTGGCGACTGACCCCGCAGCGACGAGCTGTGCCGCCGCGGCTGCCGAAGC